GATCTAGGTTTGGGACCTTCTTCTTCTTCCGCTTCTTCCGCCACTTTTGCGGGTTCAAGAGTTTTATTCTTTGCCTTGAGTAGAATTCTACCCTTTAGAGCTTCTGGGCTTGGAAGATTGTCTTTGTGATCACCATCACCGGTGTTCACAGGGGCCACCACAAGTTTATCCCCAAAGACCTCCCGCATGACTCGCACCAGGACCTTTTGCTGCTCTACTCCTGTAAAACCTTTAGAGAACAGAAATTTTACCGATAAAGAGCACATACCACAGTGTAATTCACCACTAATGATGACCGGATAAGGGCTGGTAACAAACGCGTATCGGTCGATAGCTTCACAGATTCGGCGAACGGAGAGTGAGCTCGTAAGAGTTCCACCATGAGTCACGATCGGTTCTCCTGGAATGATTTCGTCCGTAGGCGTAGCTTTCGACTTGGAGGTGCTACCTGCAGCAGTAGTGGAGTCTGCCTTGCTGCCTATATTTCCAATGGCATCACCGACTGCAGTTACCGCTTCTTCTATGTCTTCGGCTACTTCACCCACCCCAGAAGAAATCGCATTGGTGGCTGTAATAGCAGCTCCGGTGAAGTCGTCCGCATCTGGACCATCATAGATGTCCATTTCGACGCTGCGACAACCACCCAGTAAAGCCCTGATGTAGCCCTCGACACTCGAGTTACCAATGAGCTGATTTCCAACGATGTAGGTATTGTGGGAGGAACAGATGTAGTAAGAGGATAAGGGCTGGGTCATGTCTTGATGGATCTTTGACGCTCCAGTTGACGAGGGCTCGTGTTCTTTGTTTGGAATGGGTTTGGTGATAGCTTCAGAAAAGGCGCTATTGAACCCGGATTCCAGGAATGATGCGAAGGAGTCCAGCGTCCAAGGGCTGACTTTGTCAATGGATGGAGGGGGTGGGTCATTCGGGCCTGAGGTGTAACCCGCTGGCTTATCAGCGGTAGGGGGAGACAAAGAACGGAAAATGTGTTCCAGCTCTTCGTGACAGAATTTTGACTGGGAAACAATTGAGTGGATCAGTAAAGGGAATCGAGAGAATAAACCCAAATATGCTTGCCTTCTGCGTGTCTTTCATGAAGCCCTGGAAAGTCTTGAAATCGAAATTTCCAGCACCCTTGATAGAATCGAAGACCTTTGCGACATCAGGACGTTCCTTTAACCTTGCAACGAAATCTTGAAATTCGTCATAGGTGAGGTGTCCTTTGTTGCCCTTGTCCGCTTCCATGAATCGCCTCCCAATTTCTTCCTCTTTGCCACCAAAGTTGAGGCGCTGACACAACGATTTGACCTCTTTGAGCGAGAGCTTGTTGTCTTTACTGCTATCTGCACCGGCAAAGTGATGACGATCCCACAATGCTCGCGCAGAACTGGACCGACGAATCGTGCCCGTCATAAAGTCCAAGCGTAGCTGTCGCAACGCTGTCAACGTAGTGAACCACTGAGCTAGAATCTCGGCGGTTGGAGCGATGACATTCAGGGTCTTGTACTCGTCCTCGATTGTGTAGATGATGGTCAACCATCTGTCCTCCACGGATTCGATGCTCTGGTTTGGCAGTAGGGATGCAATCTCGGAGTGAGCATGCGATCCTATACGGAGCTCCTTGATGTTTTCTATATGAACTATAATTTCATGTAGTTAATA